AAAAAAAAAAAAAAAAAAAAGCTGCAGACTGCACTGCAGGCAAGAATTGTCTCAACAACGACGCTGAGGGGAAATCGACTTACCGAAAGCGGAATGAAAATTGATTAAGCGTGGACCTTGGTAGCAAGGAAGACAATGGGAAGATGACCCAAGAATGATGATAAGATGAGATGATAGGAGAGACACTGATGGTGAATGGAAGTCAGAACTTAAAGGGCGGGGAATTTGGCCAAATTTATAGGTCCATTTTCATACGTTCTCACAGAGTTGGCTTTTCCCCCTCTCTCCCTCTCGTGATTGTACTGTACTACTGTACTGATTGTACTTGATGGATACCTTACCTTAGGTACTACCCCATTATTGCTATTCTAGGTAGGGTACAGTACACTATCCGTTCCTCCGTCTTCCGGCGAGAGGGAGCGGAGGAGGAGAGGGGAGGAGAGGGGAGGGGAGGGGAGGAGAGGGGGTGTCACAGGCAGGCAGTGTGGGTGTGGGTACAGTACAGTACTAGACTCGGAAAGAGGGGTGGATCAACTACCACCAGCCAACCTTGAAACCATGGCAGATGGCAGATCATCCCAGTTAGGGGTTCACCAAGCTTTCTCCGCACACGGGACTCCCTCCCGTCTTTGCGGTCGTTAGGTTGACAGTCAATGCTATGTAAATTAGTACTAAACTAAAGTACTCAGTAAAGTGAAATGCTCAGAGTAGTTAGACTGTCCTGGAACTCAATCCTCGATTACAGGGAGCGATCTGTGGGTGCACGTTTGTATCACCCTATTATCTAAACAATCAATGTATACACACAGGACACTACACATACGATGTCACTATGCTCCAAGAGTACAAAGCTCATGCGGGGATCTGGAATGCAATGCAAATGTAACTACGGAGAAGTTACAGTAGACTACGGAGTACAGTAGCCGTGGTGAGCCGATGAGGGGGAATCCGAGCAAGGGCCGAGCCTGTGCCAGATAACTCGGAGCTAGATACGGAGTACGGCTCAGTACTGTACCTGGCAGGGCGATCAGCCCAGGATTGTCCCCGCATAGCATTGCCGCGGCGCTACTGCAGAGTTGAGTCGGGACTACGACGACTAGATTATGAGTGGATCTTTTGTCTCGATTTAGACAATCAACGGACAGAATTACTGTTTTGTCTGGCTGTCAGTTGGGTACCTAGCACGGAGAATGGACTGGAATCTTACCTACCTACGTAGTAGTACCATCCGTTCATCCATGATTGTCCCGCATTCCACCCAGTTCGGATAGCTCCATCTTTTCCCCTCACGAGGGGAAGACTGCCTGTCATAGCATGGCGGCAGTGAGGGGTAATTTTGACTCCTCATGAGAAAGTCTCCCCGCATGGCCTCCCAAATGCTGTCTCTCATAGCAGGCCAGGACCCCATGTGAAAATGCTACGGGCGAAAAGTCGCTTCATTTCATTCTGTGTAGCTCAGTACAATATTAACACACATAACAGACATGTATGTGTCTACTAGAGCTTGACTCTCCCCTTACATTGAGTTTCGTCGTGGAGTGGTCAGCGCAAGCGCAGTCCGATAACCGATAACTAACAAATTACTGACGACCCAAGCTTGAGCGTTCTTCTACCTTCCCCCCTCCCCCCGACCAAAGCGATTTTTCCCCCAAATGCGATTCCTCCACTTCCTGGAAACCGAAATTCGACCGCATTATCTCCGGCACTGGGTCTCTGGGAGAGAATCTTCAAGTGACGTTGATGTCCTGGAAGAGAACCACATTGAAGTCTCCATAATTTGAGACAGACGTCACGCCCGACCCCCGACCGCGGCGGCGGCGGCAGCATGAGGGGAAACCATCCGTCTGTTCCCCACCACCAGCGTGTCTGCGTGTCTGCGTGTCTGCCTCCTCATTGCCCACACCCATTGCCCTGCCGGTCTTGCCGCATCACACGATACGCCTGTCTGCTTGTTGACCCGAACTCTTGAAACGCCCCCCCTTCGGAGTCACGAAGCGCTTGCGACGCCCGGTGGCCAATACACAGTACCGGGCGAAAGGGCCCTTGTTCAAGGTGTCGCAAGCTTCAAACTTGGGTGGAATCTCTACTGATTTCGAGACAACAATGTGCACGAACCACAATTTTTGTTTCGCTTCTTGAGTTTGGAGTTGGTATATTCTATTCATCCTATGAGGATGTCTTCTATCTATAGTACAATTTTTCCGAATAATAGGCAGCGCATGCTTCGCGTGAAACACGGAACATGATTCGAAGCTTCTGGCGATATGATGTCGCTTCTAAAATACAACATTGACCACCTTGCCGCCTTTGACAACAATTACTCGTCGCCGCTTCTCCCAGTCGTTCTTCTCCCGCAGCCATGTTCGTCCTTCGTCGGTTTCTAGAATGCGACTGATAATCCAGTCTTGTTCATCTGTGGTGTTCGCGTTGGCTTCGGTGGTCGTGGGCGAAAGTCGCTGTGGGATGTTCACACTGAATCGCAATTTCCCGTTAACTTGAACCGCAACAGTCTGCCCTCCTCGTGCGGACAGTATGTCGGCCTCGGCGGGGGCCAAAAGGGGTGTGGGCCAGTTGCAGTCGAATATACTTGGGATAGCTGCCGTTTCCGAAGCGGCGTCGGCTGAGTTCCGCGTCACCACCGAGCCGTTTAGGATCTCCCAGCACTCGGAGGCAAGAGCCGGAGCAATTGGCGAGAGTAGACGAAGTAGGGACGAAACAGTCAGGTAGAGAACTTCGGGTGA